TAAAACTTAAACTGTTGTAAACCAGGCAATTTATTGATAAGCAGCTACTTAACTTCTTCAATTTAATAACTACTAGACTTTTTATATTGTGATACTGTGATGCTCTCACGTAGCATTGGCTGCACTATCATTCCCATGCGTGTAGCATAACATGATCATCAATTTGGTTTTGTAATGTGCAATTAACAAGATTTCACCTTTTCAGGTGCCTGTGCTCATTGTTAAAGCCACAAGAGAAGTAGCGATAAATGCTGGATTCAACGATTCGACGATTCGACATTACTTATCTTAATTGGCTCTTTAAATTTGTTAAATTGTTTATTAAATCATTAAATTATGCACAAAATCATATAATTTTCGAATTTTCAAATGTTCAAATGTTCAAATTTTCGTATTTTCGCTTTGAATGCTTAAAAATAAACATGAAATTAATTCGTTGACGCTGTGGCATTTGCACTACAAAATTTTGACGCCGACAGTCCTTAACGATTTACCAGTGCACCAGTCCCCTCAGCTTAGTAGTGTACCTCGGCTGAGATTTTGCTAATGCAATGTTATGGAATGGAATGACTAGGATTGAATTGGAATTGGAATATGCTAAACGTGCTTAAGGTTGCCAAAGTGCCAAAATGCCACTCGCCACACCTAAATCTCATAAACGTGGTCTTGTCTTATTGTCGCAAATTATTGTTGCACTTGTTGCTGCCTTCATGGAAGTCTCGTTTCAGTTGTTGTTTCAATTGTTGTACTCCATCCATAGCGGTATTTACGCTTCAAATTGTTGTTGAGGCTGTTGTTGGCTGTTGTTGGCTGCTGCCTTTGTTGCCTTTGTTGTCTCTGTTGATATTGTTAATTAGTTTATATTTTTCTAATAGTACAACTTTTTGCATATATAGTTTTTTATTGTTGAAATGATAGGTGTGGTTATTTGTGGCGCTTGGAGGGAATGAATTAAACGAATTATTCCTTAAAAAGTCGACTGTGTCTGTGGTAGGAGTATGGGAAAATATTTTTCATAATTCACAATGCAATTGCAGTAAATTACTTAAAGATTATTAAATTCATTAAAGATTAACTTAAATTTTTATTATTATTACTAATATAATCACTTTGTTGGTGCTTTAAGTCAAAATTTAAAGGGCAACTTGCAGGGAGTATAAATTTCAAATAAAAACGAAAGTTTCTTCTTGCCGCCAGCAAAAGTGTGAGCAACATTTCAACTTAAGCAAACGATGGTGCACCCAAGAATTTCTTGGTGTTATTTAATGTTTCACAGCATATAAATATGGTACATATAAATAAGCCGTGCACAGAGGATAAGGAGGCCAATCTCAAAGTAGCTCAGTTAGACAAGTGCAGTCGGTTGTATAAGTTAAATGTGGAACGAGCAAAAATGTTTACAAGACAGAGCGACATTTCAAAATATTTCTGCTACATCAACTCTGCTTTTATTCAATATGAAGCGAAATCAACGCACAGGTTGACGTGGCTACAATAAGTACAATAAGAGTAAAAACTTTATAATTCCAAAAACAAAAAAAGAAAAAGATAAATGCAAGACAAAAGATCAACTTTGAGGAAGCACTTGGCTGTTGGATGTTGTGTGGTTCACTGAAGCTCAACACGGCAAACGTATAAATTCCAAGCATGTCTCTGCTGCATATTCATGAGAATCGATGCCTTTGTGTTTTGGTATGTGGGAGTCTGCAATTTCGTTTGCTTCATGATGTATTGTGGCATCATTGGGAAGCTCTTAGATTGGTGTTTCTTTTTTATCGCTTGCAATAATTTTACATTTTCTCCCATTGAATTTTGCACTAGAAATGTTGCTTGCTTTTGACATGCAGCAGTTGCTGCAATTACTGCACGAGATTGTGATGCTTCATGAAGTTAGGAGTAACGTGCAAAGCTAATACTAATACAGGGTGCAAATTTTAAGGTCAAATTTCTTAAGAGTATTGCTAATTATGCAGGCGTATGGTACTATGGTACTAAAAAAAAAATTCAGCGGCTACGCTGGCTTAATCATGTCGTGCGAATGGAAGAAAGTGCTCCGGCTAAAAATGTATTTGATTCGGTACCCGTAGGTGGAAAACGCGGTAGAGGACGTCCGCAACTTCGGTGAAAGGACCAGGTGACCAACGATTTGGAGGTGCTGGGTACTAACAACTGGCGTCAGAAAGCAATTAATCGGGCTGACTGGCGGAGGCTACTATACGCGGCCAAGGACGACCCACGTCTGTGATGGCCAACTAAGTAAGTAAGTAAGTATGGTACTATGGAATGGTATGGTAACAGCCATATAATGGGTGATATAAGAAGTAACCGCCGTTTTTAGTGTATTTTTAAAAAAAATTCAATCTTGCTATCTTTGAAAATCCATCTGCCCCGTTAGCAATTAAAGTGCCAACTCTTCTGTGCGGTATACGTCTTTCAAAGAAAACCACTACTTAAGAGTATATACATCTATAAATGGACAAAATTTCTTACTAGAAATTAATAAAACTTGAAAGTTATAAGAAAGGTTAATGAAATTGAATCAAAATTATAGTGCTTCATAACACCATTATATGAACTTAGTATTATGGGTTTTCATTTTAATCTGGAGACTATAGGGCCTGAAAGCTACTGTTAAGTCATATGATTATAATGCTGATGTAATTTCATTTGATACATGTTGTTTAGTCCATGTATGAAGCAATAACCTCTGTAACTATAACTAATAGTATGTTACTGTGATATCTGTAAAAATAGCTTAAACTTTAAGATTGTCCTGGATACGTAAGTCTTTAAGATATAATGGCGTAACGGTTATTTGTCTGAATATTTTAATTCAAATTTTCTGCATTTTTCCAACATAAGAGCTGCATGCTGACGGTCAAGAGTAATGCTATAAAATCAGGTACATTGTGACCGAAAGGTTTTCGGAGGTTCTCATTTAAAATTCGCGCGCTGTATATTTTTCGATATTTTAAGTTTATGTAGTTTGGCCAGCATGTCCTTAATTACTATGCCAAAAATGAGCGCGATCTGTCAGACAGTTTCGTTTACGGCAGCTGTTGAAACCAGTTCACCTCAGTAGTGCGTTGCGAAAAAAACAATGGAAAAAAATATTGAACAAAGAGTTTGCATCAAATTTTGTTTTTCGAACGAAATTTCGTGTGCAGAATCGTTGCGAATGCTACAAAAGGCTTATGGGGAATCAGTTTTATCGAAAACTCAAGTTTATGAGTGGTACAAAGCCTTTCAGGACTGTCGTACGACCGTCGAAGACATGCCGCGTTCTGGACGACCTTCGACCTCTACCACCGACGAAAACATTGAAAAGGCAAAGGAAATCGTGTTCAAAAATCCTCATGTGAGTGTTAGAGAGATAGCACGAGAGCTAGGCATCGGTCGTGAGATGGCTCGTTTGATTTTGGTGGACAATTTGTGTATGCGACGTGTCAACGCCCGGCTTGTTCCGATTCACCTCAATTTGTTCAACATTATCAACGATTTTAAGGCCAAACATTCAATAAATACCATCGAACAGCCACCGTATTCACCTGATCTTGCACCGTGTGACTTTTTCCTGTTTCCCAACCTCAAATTACCACTCAGAGGAACGCGTTTTGAATCCATAGAAGACGTAAAACAGAATTCGCAGAGGGAACTCAAAGCCATACCGGAAAGCGCCTATAAAATGTTTTGATGATTGGAAGAAACGTTGGCATTTGTGTATCGCTTCTAATGCGAGCATATTTTGAAGGAGATAAAATAAATATTGATGAAGATTAAGAATTTTGCGTTTTATTTATTTATGACCGGAAACTTTTCGGTCACAATGTATATTATATGATTGAATTGTAAGTCAGGATTTTTTTCTCGGGTATGTTTTGGATTCCCGATAATAGTTCAGTATTGCATATAATATATGTAATTCACATATAATATATGTTATATTGTTATCATAATTACAATAATAACTTTTATTTCCTTTTCAGAATAATTACGCAATATCTTTACTACATTTGTTTGATGGAAACTTAAATCACCCAGTATAAATCTATAATAAAGCAAAAGCGTTTAGTCAAGTGATAGTGAAAAATATTGCAATAAAAGTGATTTTCTTAGCATTATTTTCTTTTCTTTTTTCACATAGAAAAGTAGGAATTTTTCTTTATATTGTTTATATTATTACATTTGTTGTTGTTTTTATCGTTGCTATTATAGTTGCAATTGTTGTTGCTGTTGTTATTGTTGCTGCTGTTATTGTTACTGTTACCGTTACTGTTGTTGGACTAAAATATTTTAACATTTTGGGAAGTTGTTATCAAATTGGATGTTGTTGTCGCTTTTATTGTAATATATTTATGTGGTAGTCGTTATCGTTTTTTACAAGTCCGTGTTCAACTGTCTGTTTCAATATTGTATTGTTATGTACATATGTCTGTCCAGCTGTCTGTATATATGTCTATAGTAGTAGTTTGTCTGTCCACTTTTGTCTACTCGTTTGACAATTTTTGTCTGTTCCTTGTCTCGTTCGTCTACCAGAGTTGACAGTTGGTGTTGCTTTATAGTGTCAGTGATTTTGTATGCCATAAAGTAAAGTCAGTAGCAGGCATATGGCTTGTTAAAATAATATATATATATATATATACTATACTTATATATATGTATATATGTAATGCAATTGCAACTTGCATTCAGATACTTCAGTCAGCAATTTTGTAGAAATGTCAAAAGTTTTTTTTTTTGTCTTTCAACTTTTTTATTCAAATATTTTTTGGTGATAATTTAACTTGAGGAAGTTAAAATTTGCATAGAAAAATGGAAATTAACAAGATTTGTTAACATTTTTTCCAAATTATTTCTCGTGTGTTGATTCCAGTTACTGTGTATTTTTACTCGCCATTATGACAATTTTAATGTGATGTAATTTAAAATTGTGCATTTCACATTTTATTATATTGTTGCATTTTATATTTATACGTTTTTATTTTTACAATAAAACTTACTTATTTTTTTTCAGAGTCTTAGACTTTCTTATAAAATATTTAGCAAAAAGGTTGAAGCACGTATTTTTTGATTTAGTCCAAGGCAAAATTTTCATCCAAGAAACTGCAAAATAAAAAGAAATATAATATATAATAAATGTAGGAAATATATAAAGATAAAAGAAAAAAATTATATTTAATAGAAGCATATAAATTGGTAATAAATATTTTCACATACAAGGAATAGAACTTTTTAAATATTAAAATCTGTGACCTCTTCAGGCGCACACGTAATAACTCATACGCCTTGGCTTACAAAATTTATAAAATGTAATGTGACTCAATAAGGCAGATAAAAGCAGAAGTTGATAGCATTTTCTAAATAATTTATATCATACATTTTCTCCAAAATTTAAAAATATTGACATTAATTTCTCAGAAAAACGGTTTTTTTAAATAATTTAATACTATAGGTTTAATATGATTATAATCATATTTAAAAAATTGCAAATTACTAGTCTTTTTAATACTTTCAAAACCATAAAGTATTAAAAATATTTAAAAAGGCTTAGTAGGCAATTATGATGTAGAGCTCTATCCCGATGGATAAAGCTTAAACTTCATAGATTGCATATTCTACAGAATGATGAAACAGCATATTGAGTTTTTGGTAGAGAAGTTCTTCCTAATTTCTTTGGTCTTCTACGACTATTGCACTCGCATGAATCGTTATTTGTACGAACCTTATCATGACATTAATACACTTCAGCGAATTAACATTTAGAGGCTTTGCTGGCTTGGTCATGTCACAGGAATAAATGATATTGCTATAGTTAAAAACATATTATGGTAGAGGGATCAAGTTGGGTAAGCACTAACTGCACAAGATGTACGAGTCTGAAGAAGGCGCGCTTGCAGCAAAGATGCCTGGAAAGATATGCTGTATTACGGCCATTTCAGTAAGTAAGTGGGTGAAACGTTGATCGCAAGCGTTGCAAGTTTAGATTTCTGTTGTCTGTTAGATATATACTGTTCTCGAAAAGTGCTTTAATTTTCGGAATTCTAATATACAGGTACATCAAGAAGAACGCTTTCTCTCTTTATTATCTGATTAATAATGTTCGTACCCTATATTGTGCTGTTGTCAGCGTTAATTTAAATGCTTTCGGTCTTAGAGTGGTTTATCTTGTCTAAATACTTCAATTTGACAGTTGACAGCTGGTTTTCAAATTAGTCTATTTTCGGTTGCATACTTTAAATTTAGATCTTCTTTCCGTGTTTAATCATTTGAGTTTAAAAATTTTTCTGCTAACTAACAGGATATGGGTTTAAACTTCACTACGGTTAGGTCTAAAAACACGTCTTAAAAAATTTTAAAAAAATGCTTTGTGGTTTTGGTTTAAGAATAAAGTTTGTTTGTCACAAAATCTCCATAAGCTTAGCTCTAACTGGTATCGCTAAGAAACAATACCTAACTGCCTGAATTACAGTCACCAAAATTAACCTAATGTAAGCTTTTCTCATCTTAAACTCATCTATACATATCTATTCCGGATTTTAACTGAGAGTCATTCTCATCTTGTACGCTTGTTTTTTACTCAGTAGGTTTATAAAGACTCTTTGTACCATGTTTCGGAACTACGTCTGAGTTGCCACGCAGTTATCTGTACGGATAGGAATGCCACAGATATTGGCTTTTGGTCGGAATTTGACTCATGTGAGGTAAAAAAAAGACAAAGGATGATATACGTCTATGTATTTATTAGTCGGCTATTATCTGTGCGTCTAAAAAGATATTGATAAACTTGCATTTTAATTATTTGCTGGGTTGGGTTAGATAAGGGTGGTAATAGTACTAACCAACAGATTTTTATAAATACGATTGATGATAGATATTTGGCGATATCCAAAAACGACTGTTTTTAAATTCACTTGATTCATAAATGTAATAATTAAATTAGTTTAGTGTATTAATGACAGAATTCACCTTTAAAAAGTTGTCACATTTTTAGTTTTAATTTTATGATATTGTTGTCATTATTATTTCAAATTTAGACTCAGTTTTATTTATTCTCTCTGGTATCTTTTTTAGTACTATTTCAAATTGTAAAAATAACATATAAATGCAGTAAAAGCTTTTACTTAATCCTATCATATATTTTATATTGTAATTATTGTTTTGCCTAATAACAGTTTTGAAAGTATATTATAGTTTTTCAGCATGAAATTCATATATTACTGTTGTATTCGTCACCATATATGTCTCATATAATATGTTATTGTAATGGAAAACTTTTTTGTTAGAATTTATTTCAATATAAATTTTTTTTTTTCAATTTTAAAATATATTTAGATTCACAATTCATATATAATAAACTTTGAACATTTAAATTCAAAGTCACAAATGCAGTCCATAATGCAATAACGAAATACTCACTCAACATATTATTTACATTATTACAACTCGGTAACCTACTGAATGTTGTTATATATTTTTAGTTTTTTTCTATGTTAAACATTTTTTATGTTAACATATTGTTTGCAGTCCTTCAACCGTGACACATAACAGAGAATGTTAAAAAGATTTATGTGTGGCTGTTGGTTTTTAAAAATGTTTCCTTAACATCACAAATGTTATATTGCATATTGCATTTAATGTTTTACTAAAGGAAATGTCAATTTAAAAACAAACCAAAAATAAAAAAATTGGAATAAAAAAAAAATTAAACAACATTGTAATTATTTTTTCATGATTTTTGCGATTTTTGTGTGATTTTTGAATTTGCGGCTATTGTGGCGTATGAGTAATGTTAGAGCGAAGTAGTAATAATGTTGAGTAAGAACTTCTCATGTTGCTCATATAACTTAGCACGAACATTTTTATTAACAAAATAAATTATTTTAATTATTGTATATATTATACGTTTTCTCGCCTGAGATACTTGCATAATAGTGTCTGTACTTGCATTGAAATATTTTTAGTATTTAATTGGACTAAACGGTGGCGTAACCAATTACAACGTCATAAATTAACAAAATATGAAAAGCAGCAACGGTGAAGTTCCTGCGATTATGCAAATTGCCAACAACAAATAAACAACATTTTTCGCATGTGTAAACAAATTACAATTAATAATTTAAATAAATTAAAGCTTATTGGTTTTTACAGACAAGAGTTCGAAGTGTTATATGATACCAGCAACGATTTATGTTGGCCGATATTATACATATACCAAAAACAAAAAAATTTTGTAAAAAGTAATTTAAATTTGTAGTAAAAGAAACCAATATTGTGGCACCCACATATGTAGTGTATATGTTAAGCAAAATCTAATTAATGAACCAACATAACAGCAGTTAAATTTTATTTTACTACCGAGGAATTTAAGCCAATTTGACTCAATACACCGCAATTCACCACAATTCGCCACAATTTAATATTAATTATTTATGCAAAAAAGTAAATGCTAAGATTAATTGTTATTTATTATTTTTATAAACAAAAAAAAATTTAAAAGCCGTTTTTTTGTTTAGGTTTCATTTAAAAAATCTGATCATGTTAATTAATTTTTCATAAATCAGCCTCAGCACATTAGGAATCAATATTAACCACAACAACTTCAGCCGCCGCATCAGTCATGGAGCGATGTGGGCTCGTCTCATTAAAACCCTCAATTTCAGTGTGCAAGTTTTGAGTAGGTCAGGTACAAGTTCCTCACCGAAAACAATACAAAACCGTGTATGCATACACGGCTGTTTTGATTAATAATTTCATTGCTTATAATTTACTCATGGGAAACTTTAAGGCTGTGCGCGGTTATATGAAACCGTACTGAAAAGACAAAAAAAAAAAATAACAAAGTCGCGTACATTATATTACAAAATTGCATTAATTGCAAAAAATATACGCTTTTTTTATCCAAAAAATAATGTTTTTCCTCAAAAAATTTGCATTTTGAAAATTTAATTTCAAAAGTTATGAGGTATAAAATACGACTTTAGTACGAGTACTTGCAGATACTTATTCGCACACACATGCGACGCAATTGGAGTCAGCTGCAGCATCAAATTACATGCAATCTATAATCAACTTGGCCAACGTGTTGCTGATATTCCGTCCGATATTGCTTACGCTGCTGCTAGTGTTGCTAGTGTTGTTAGTACTTTTGTAGTTACTGCTGTTGCTGTTGCTGTTGTCGTTGTCGCTGCTGTTGCTGTTGCGTTTTTAAGTGAAAGTCAGTCAATTGCTGAGAATTTGTTGGTGCATGCGCATGCGCATGTGATTAAAATAAAAAATTATGTATGTAGCAAAAAGATATAAAAATATAATCTGCAGCCAGCAGCAGATAACCTTCAAGGTGAGTCTTTATTTTCTTTGATTCAAAATGCCACAAAAATAACTCATTTATAAAATAATCTCAAAGTTATTGGTCATCGTAGGTAATACGTCGGTCAACTTTATTGGCGCGTATGCTTTGACAAATGCATTGCTTGAGGGAGTGTTGCCATTTATTTTGCGAAATTTATTGATTTCGCGTTATGAGCTCAAGTAGTTAAAGTAGAAGTTAAGCTGGTTTTAATTATATTTTTTATTGCTCAATTAAGACTTGACAAGGTTTGACTAATTGCATACTTTAGACTGTTGGTGGGAAAATATTTATATTTTTGTTTCAACTGTGCGTTACACATAATGAACAAAATGACATTGAGCACTATGAGTTGTCGATTCGCACAAAACAATTCATATGAATCGGTGTGAGTAGTGAAATATGGGTCATTTGTATTCAGTTGCAATAAGAGTAGACAAAACTAAATGTTAATGGACCAAAACCAAGTTACTGTGTTAACCACTACAAATTTTTGCAATAATAATGATGATTTATGTTAAAATAATTGACAGTGCAACATTTAAAGCAAAGTTTTATAAAGAATCTTATTGTTGTTAATAAATGTCAAATTTTACTCTATCCGAGAACCTGATGATGTAACACTATTTTTTATTCTAATAATTATTTTTTTTTATTTTATTGTTATTAAATATATTCGTTCACTACATCTGTTCTTGAGAATATAAAATAATATTGTAAAATATTTAATTAAACTATTTGTAATTAAGATAATGGAAATTGGTTGTTACAATCCTAATATTGAAACTGAGGAGGCAGTTAAAATAAAAATTTCAAAAACCATAACAAAATATTGTAGTAAATGTAAAATATTGCTAGTTTTAAGTACGACACACTTGGTTTTCTTTTAAACACTTGTTGAGCTATTTATACAATAATTATATTATTTATAGTTTAAGCCAGCGTTGGATAATAATTATAGTTTTTACAGTCATAGCCAGCGTTTGCATCCGTCT